GGCCAACGAAGATCGATGGGTTCTCCTTCGGCGGGATGGCTATGTGGTCATCATCAAGGTCACCGAGAATGCCGCGATCAAATCCAGTGGGATGTACTTGAGCTTCGACCCGGATGCGACTCGTGGAGACGCCCAGCTCCTACTGGCTTTGAAAGGGTACGAAAGGGTACACCTCTGCCGACACGACTCCTGTCCAGAAGAAGGTCAACACTTCAAGAGCTATGCTTTGGCTCGACAGCTCAACCCTGAACGTTTCCACCTCCTTTCGACTGCTGCTGGGGCGCAGAGGACGGGGATGAAGACAATGGGGTGGCTCTTTTCAAAGGCTCACAAGTCAGCGAAGCGGCTGAAGGACTATGCCTCCGAGTCTGAACGGGAGGAGGTTGGAGGATGCTGCGCACACCTTGTCCGATGGGAAGGTGAGGCTGGTCGAGTTTGTCTTAGTGACCACCCGTGCAAGAATGGGGCCGCTACGGACGTGGAGATGTTGGAAGAAGACCGTGGGAATCTCCCCGCTGACCAACAAGCATCTTTGTGCTCGGCCCATGCAGTGCGTTATCTAACACTGCGGGCTACCTTGAAGTGCTCCTATGGGGGTTGTCAGAGGCTCGGGGCAGTGAGTAAGCAAGGGTTGCGCCTCTGCGGAGTTCATCAGGAGCAAGCGTCGACATCATCCAGACGTTCCTCGCGGTCGAGATCCAGGGCAAGGGACCCACACCCGGGAGAAGACGAAGGTGAAGAACGGGCAGAAGGAGAAGGAGATGATCGGGCACGGAGACGGGGGCGAGCCCGGGAGGTGACCTACCAGGTCGACGATACGGAGTCGTTCCTGCGAGATGTCCGTGAGGAGAAGGAGGAGGAACCACCCGCCCTTCGGAGGAGGAGGGTGTCGTCTCCAGGCCACACGCCAAAGTCCTCAGTCCAACACAGCTTGGCCCGGATGGGAATGATTAACTCTCCAGACCGGAGGGGGGACCTCACCTATTTGGAGGAGTTCATGGAGCAGATGGCTGACGGGAGGGAGCTTCAGCTGGGAGAAGAAGACATTCGCAAGCAGCTGGCAGCCCAGGCAGGGTTGACTGTGGGCGACCTCACTCGGCATCTCTATGAGCAGGCGACGGAGGAGCAAAGAAAGGGGACGAAGGGTCTGACCAAGTTCTTGGCAAAGTGGCGCCAGCAGGCTGCTGCACAAGATCGCCCTACGTCCTTGTCGGACTGGAGTGTGGTCGAAAAAGAGCGGGAGAGCTCGGCACCTACACCATCGAGCATGGCTTCTGGGACGAGGGTTGCTTCAAGCCCGGGACAGGTTGAGACACCTCCCAAAAGGAAATTGGCATTGGTTCCACCCCCGGGGATCTACGACCCTGACAGGAAGGCCGGCGCTGGGGCGGAAGAACGGGCTGGGCATTCCGAGATGACCGACATCGCCAAAGCGATCCAGCAGCAAACGAATGAACTGGCTACGTTGGTCAAGGCCCAGCAGGAGACCACCACGGGCATGGGCGGCTCGCTGAAAGGTTTGGGGAAGACCTCTGAAGAACTGGTTTTTCTGCTCCGCGCGTGCGGGCAGTATACCGTGCAAGTCGGCAACGAAGAGTACGGTGCCCCACTCGCTCAGGCCTTGCTGGCGGCTCAGGCCGGTTCGTCAACAAAGTTGAGGAGCGCTGGATTCCGGCAAAAGATCACTTCCAGGCTCGCCATCGGGATCGCTGGTCCGTACTGGGGCACGCAGGAGAAGTATGCCCTGAGTGCATCTGACTTCGTTCCCTGCACAGACGCAGAGTTGGACCAGTTCGCGATCGAAAGCCGGACAGGGAAGCCCTTGAACGAGCAAAGACCCACGGCCCCTACTCGATATGAAGACTGGCTCAATCGAGTGAAACGCCAGAATGACATTTGGGCGCTCGTGTACGGGATGGAGTGGACGGCAGTAAGGGAGCACGCCATCAACCTGTTGGGGGAGTGGCATGTCAGCGCCCCTCATAAGTGGCCGCTACAGGTCCTTTTGGACGTGTGGGAAGAGCTGCACTGGCGCTTCTTGGAGGAGCTAAAAGAGGAGTTGAGGAAGATCAAGCGGCTGTCAGGCAGGGATTCCATGACGCTGCAGGACCTCAAGTTCTATGCCCTCATGCCGGATGAGGAAGGAAGACCCCCTTTGAACCTCCCGCAGACCTTCGACTTGCGGCGACCTGAAGGATGGTTTATGTCCGAAGTCATGCCCAGGATTGAGCGAAGGCAGGAAAGGATGCTTTGGAAGATGACGTGGGAGGGCTCCGGAAAAAGCAGAGCGCAAGGTCAACCGGCTGGAGGAGATGGTGGCTTGAAGGAGGAGAGGCTGTCGCTGAAGAGCCTATTCGGGCCAAAGCTCACGGTGGAAGAGACCACGAGAGCAAAGGACCGCGCCCCTACCAACAAAGAGGGCAAGTTGCTGTGTTGGGGCTACCTCACTCACCTGGGCTGTTCGCAGCAGGGCTGTCAGAGGGCGCATGAGCCTTTGAGGGGGCCCTTCGAGGCTCTTGATCCGGCGGTTCAACTCCAGATGCTCAGACGGGGAGGCCTCAGGAGGATGAAGGCTGAGACGAAGGAATCAGCAGCCGAGAAGATGAAAGAAATCAGGGCTGGGGTGGCAAAGGACAAGGCCGCGAAGGTGCAGGATGGCAAAGATCGCCGACGAGCAGGTCAAGGAGAGGGTACCAAGGAAGGCGAGCCAGAAGGACCTGAAAAGGCTGGGGGCAGAGTTCATTGGGAGGCGCCAGAGGCGATGATCCAAGTCGACTACACCCACCAGGAGAAGGAGTTTGCCGACCTCGTCGCGGGCCCGGACAGTTCTGTTTTTGACCACGTTCCCAGGGAGGCTCAACCTCACGAAGGAAGACATGGATCTACAGCCCCGGCAGAGGCCCAGGACATGGTGAGGAAGGCGCAAGCCCTCGCAACAGGGCCGGTTTTGGGAAAGCTTCAGGAGGCTTCAGATGATCTCTATGCGTGGGCCTCAACGAGGGTAGCCAACGACCCGGAGATTCTCTTTGAGACCCTCATGGAAGAAATGGTCCAATATGGTTTGGGAGAGCTTGCGGCGGAAGCGGCTGCCTTGCTTGAAGCCCATGGGCAAGGGATGAAGGCAGGACATCAAGCCCGATGCCAACTCGGAGACACTCGATGGGAAGGTGATGGACCCGGGAGAGCTCTGGTGCACATCGACGGGTTACCTTGGGCCCTTTGGGACTTCGGCGAGATGGTCAACATGACAGAGGAGCTGGCGGGGCTGCTGGGGGTGATCGAGCCCGAGAAGGAGAAGAGGCAATGTGTCACGAAGGTTCTAGCAGCAGGGATGCACCTCGCCCTGGAGCCCATCGAGCTCTACACACAACCGCATCAGCAACTCGGACCACGCCCAGATCATGATCTGTCCGACCCGCACCGCCAGGAGTACTTCATCAACCGGCTTAAGGCACAGGACTCAAATGTGCAGTGGATTGCAAGCCCGTGTACGAGTTTCTGCGATTGGTGTCTGCAGAACGGCGGGACTCGAACATTTCAGAACCCTGCCGGGCAACCAACAGCCAAAGAACAGATTGGCAATGCTTTGTCGGAGTATGGCGCGAGGGTGTTTGAGACTTCCCTACTGCAAGGTGGCTTCCCTATTGCCGAAAGCTCTGGCACATCGGGCAGGTATCCCAAGCAATGGCACCTACCTCAATGGCGCCGTTTGCTGCAGCGCCCGGACGTCGACTTCATTGAGATCGACATGTGTGCCTTTGGCTTGGGGCCACCAGACATGCCGGGCCACTTCTACCGTCATCGTACCGGGTTGGCCTTCCCTCATCATCCCCCTCTACGGCAAGCTTTGCTCCGCCTCTGCCCTGGTGTCTCAGGAACTCACCAGCATATCCCCCTGAAGGGCAATCGACCAGGGGTGCAGGTGTCGCGGTGCACGGAAGCTGGCGTCTATGCGGAGGCCTTCGTCCGGACTGTCGTCGAGACCCTGGTGCACACCTTGGTGGGGGGGGGGTCAAAACCACAACCTCCTTTGTCAAAGACTGGGGGACGCCATCCATACGGCTGGAATGACCGGGAGATCGTGCACGAGGAGGAGCCCGTGGTCGACGAGGGTGGCCAGGCCGGCCTCGAGGACTTTGAGTACCTGAATGAAGATGAACTCCAGCAAGTCGCTGGGATGGCCGTGGACGAGGCGCTCGGGGTGTGGAATGGTGTCGAGGTCAACAATCCACAACGGGATGAACCTGAGGGAGAGGTGGTTGAGGATGAGGAGGACCTTGAAGGGGAGGACACCACTGAGCCACGCCCTGAGACTGAAGGCGAGCCCAGCACGAGAATTGTGTGGCAGGATCTGGGGCTCCGAAACCGCATGGAAGTGGACGCGGAAAGGGGCTATGTGTGGGTCCATACGAATGAGGCAAGGAATGATCTGGTGGTCCCAGAGGAGCTGCCCTACCCGTACTGGCCGCATCGATTCCAGAGTGAAAGATACACCCGATGTGAAACCCGAGACGAGTGGGGTCGTCTTCAAGTGGCCGAGGTCTATGATGACTGGAGGGTCCAAGGGAGAGGCAGGCCACCGATCGTGCCCTGGACAGGAGCCACCCTTTTTGTCTTCGCGGATGGGCAGGTCCCTTGGGTTGAGCTGCCTGTGGATGGCCAGGGGGCCCTGATGCCGGTGGAGGAGGTGAAGATCCAGGGGGCGGTGAGGACGACTGGCGGCACCAGTAGCACTCACGGGGCTCCAATGATTGGCAAAGCCTCAATGACAGTGGCCAATGGCAAGGTTGGCACTCGTGGTCGTGGCGAGGCACGAGGGCAGGAGGCAACAGCTGGACCGACTTTGAGAAGGAGGGCATCTCGGGCAAGGCGGCTACGGCGGCTTTGGGCTACATCCAGGAGGTTGACAAGATCAAGGAAACGGGGCTCAGGACTGGCAAGCCGTGCGAGAACGGGGAGATCTGCTGTTGGACCTGACGGGCTCAGTTGAGAAGGCAGCGATGGCACTTTGGGTGGCGCGGGAGCAGTTGGGCCGGAACAATTTGCAAGGGGCCGACAGTGAGGAGCTCACGAAGTTGTTGCACCCAGATCATTTGGCCTACCTGCGAGATATCAGAGCTCAAGGCGTGCCCGCCAGGTACCAAGGGCAGAGGGAGCGAGTGACGACCCGACCACACCCGCGGGCGAGGGCAGACATGGGCCAAGTGTATGTCCAGTTGATGAAGGACATCGCGAAGCACCGAGTTCTGGTCGCCTCAGCGAGCCATTCAGCCCTCAAGCATACGGTCTCCTCACCCTTTGAACTGGTTCCCAAGATGCTGCCGAATCGGTCCTTGTCAACCGAAGCTAGGCTGGTGCATGATCAACGGCAGGTCAACGGAGGAACCCACAAGGATCTTCACCCGCCTGCGGCACAGCCGACCCATGAGCAGGTGGCGAGGCGCATTTTGTGGCTGAAGGCGAGATACCCCGGCATCAAGGTCGTTCTGGCAAAGAAAGACGTGGCTGGTGCCTTCAGATTACTATGGGTTGATCCCAGGGATGTGGAGCTGTTTGCGGGTGACGTCCCATGGAGGCCAGAGTTGATGGGACCGGGAGGATCGGCGGCCAAGTTTCAAGGACTGGGAGATCTTACGGTCATCTACCTGGTCTCGAGCTTCGGGTTCTCGGGCTCCCCGGGAGAATGGACGGCATGGGGGCGTGCTACGGAGGAAGTCCACCGCAACCTCCGCCCGATTGACAGCAGGAGAGATGGAGAGCTGCACTTCTGCGGGAAGATTTTGGTCGATGACATGGTGCTTGTCGAGCCCGTGATGGGATTGAGACCCTGGGTGTCCAGTGAGGTGTACGAGTGGGCGGTGACGCAACTCCTAGGGGAGAAGGCCATCAACAAGCTCAAGGATGCGGAAGAAGGGTGCTACAGTAACCAACAGACAGTCTCCTGATCATCGACGCGGACACGGAGAGGATGTCCTTGCCCGAGGCCCGGATTCTCAAGGGGGCTTACTTGTTGGCTCAGCCGTGCTTCAACTACGGGGACAAAAACCTTCCCCTCAAGGAGCTACAACGATTCCGAGGGATCGCCAATGGTTGGAGCACCGTTGTCACTGGACTCAAGAACGAGCTCCGCAGTGCAGATGTGTTTCTTGGAGGAGTTGGAGGAGCCGCAGTTCAACCTAAACTAGCCCAGCCTGAAGGGTCCGAAGCTCGGGTGGATGAGGAGGAACGAAGTTGGGAGGCCCTTTGGGAGTTGTTCGAGGACTGCAGGTGGTTGTGTGCCCGTTCAGAGACGTGGGCTACGAAGTTTGGGGGCGACATCAGAGAGTTGCTCCCGCCTTTGGACCGCTTGGCCCTGCCTGGACAGCAAGGGGAAGGCCCGATCTTCGTCTCCTCTGACGCTACGCCGGAGGTTGTTGCAGCCATCGATTGGACCAATGGCCTGGCTTGTCGCGAGGATGTTGAGACCCTGAAGCCATGGATTCGGCAGGTTACAGAGGCCGAGGGGCAAGAGGGCGGCAAGCTCGCCATTCATCTGGGCGAGATGCTGAGCTTCGTGGCCTTTGCTTGCAAGGTTGGCCATTTGTGGGAGGGCAGAGTGGTCGTCTATGCAGGGGACAACAAGGTCGTCTACTTCTGGATTACCGGGCGGAAGAGTGGAGTCCGGGCCGGGAGGTTGTTGATCCGGGTCTTGAACTTGGTTGAGAAGCGCCATCGCTGCCGCATCCTGGGGGGGTTGGTGGAGGACCTTTCACAATGAGGATGCGGACGCCCTCACCCGTTTGGAGGAGAAGCAGGCGGACGAGCTCATGGTGAAGAAGGGTTGGGACAAGCTGGACATCAAGGAGAGCATCCACCAGGCTTTGGAGGACACGGAGCGGTTTGGCTTGTGCTTTTTGTCCTGGGCAGATCAGGAGGACAGATATGAGTTGATGAGGTTGAGGGAACTACGGGTCTTCAGAACCGTCCTCCGACAGCCAGCCGAGCTGAGGGAGGTAGAGGTGGTCGAATGGACCCCAGCGATTTGTCAAGGACTTCGAATACTTCACTGGGGGAGCCAGGGATCCGGAGCACAAGGTCATAGCAGCCACCATCGGACCTGACCCGAAAGGAAGGCGAGTGGCGGAGTTCACGGCCTATCTCGACAGTGAGGTCTTTGACATTGCCGTCCTGGAGGGACCGACCGAGGTGCGATGGGCGCGCCTGGAGCAATGGGCGAAGAGTGTGGGATGGAGCTGTGTGTTCCAAGAGTTCCTCACGTCCCAGCTTGGGGAAGCTATGGTGAGGAGAAGGGTCGCGGGCTTCGTTTTCCCTACGGAAAAGTCCTCGGAGGCGGTCGAGTTTTTGATGGTGAAGTCGGTTACTCCGCCAGCGATGGGGTCCTACTTGAAGAAGCTCAAGGAAGGCAACTGCGTTCAGACCGAACGGTATGAGGCAGCCATCAATGTGGGCCAAGAGGTCATGCTCCCGGTGGTGACAGCCCATGCGTGGATCAGGCAGGACGGGGAGAGGCAGAATGTCTATTCCTTGAGCGGACCTTGCCGGTGGCCCCTCACTGACTCCTTAGAGAAGGGCATGCAACGCATCCTAGTACAGGACAAGACCGCCCCGGTGGGCAAGGTGAGGAGCCTCACGGGCGAGGAGGTGTGGGTGCTGCAGGGCAGGCGCCTGGACGAGTGGAGGAACCTGGTGGAGCTGATCGGGGAGAAGGAAGCGGAGAAGGAAGGCTGCTGCCGGGCTACAGGCCGTCGAACTGCTCTGAGCCTGATCAGCACCGCTGCGGAGATTGTGAAAGAGGGTAAGGAAAGCAAGGCAGGGATGTGCCTCGACAAGGAGGATTACAAGTCATTGGGCATTTTGCTGCAGTGGCTGAGGAGATGGCGTCGTGGAGACTTCAGGCGAGCACTACCAGATCGTAAGGCTGGAGGCCGTGATGATCAGATGCGATCGGTGTGGTTCTGGGGTGAAGAGTTGTGGCTTGGCGCCCTCGAGGATGACGAGATGACCTTCGGAAGCAGTGAGGACCGGAAATGCGGAGGTCGCCGCAGGAAGGAGGTGAGGCCAGTGGAGGAGACCGGTGCTCGTTTCATCGACCTCAACCCAGACTTCAATCCAGATATGGAGATCCAGGCGCAGGTGGAGGAGTGGTTGGAAGCCCACTTGGTGGGTGACAAGGCAGCCAGCACCCAGAAAGCATATGCCACCGCTTGGGGCAAATGGTGTGATTGGAGCCGACGACAAGGCTGGCTAACTCCTTTCCTCGACCACAATGGCGACCCAATCCACAATGAGAACAAGGTCCTGGGCTACCTGGGCTACTTGGGATGGCTGGGTACGTCAGTGGCCACGATGAAGCAGGCAGTGTTCGCCATCAAGGACGCACACAAGAGAGCCGGCCATGGTGACACGACGGTCAAGATGCACCGTCTTTGGATCGTTCTCAACTCGTTGGAGAAGAACTCAGTGAAGAAGCCAAGGCGGCTGGGTGTCACGGTCCAGATGATCAAGTGGCTTGGCAAACAGATGGCCTCAGGAGCGGACGCCATGGGCGAGCTCAAAGTTGACTGCAGGATGGTGCATGCAGCGGTGGTCACGGCCTGGTTCTTCATGCTTCGTGCCAGGGAGTTCTCTGACTCCAGCGGGGTGGATCAGGAGATGATCGTCAGGGGGCAAGATGTATCCCTCACAACTCGTGGCCAACCCGACGAGAATGATCCTCAGGAAGTGACCTTGCAGTTCCGCAAAACCAAGGCGGATCAGGAGGCCTTCGGGACGTGCAAGACGATGCTGAGGACGGAGGTCGAGTTCGTGTGTGTGGTCACTGCGCTCCATCGACTACGCGAAGTGGCACCGAGGAGGTTTGGGCGGGGCCCAGAGAGTCACATGCCCTTGTTCCGGTGGGCTTCGGGACCTGTCCTCAAGCGCTTGGAGGTCCAGAACCTTCTGCAGAGAGCGGCACGAGCTCTCGGCTTGCCGGCAGAGCGCTTCCAGTCCCATTCGCTACGAATTGGTGGAGCGTCGGCGCTTTACCAAGCCACGGGGGAGATTGAAGTGGTCAAGAGGACCGGGCGATGGACATCGTCAGCGGTGCAGCGCTATCTCCATGACTCGGGCGACGTCCTGTCAGGTCTGGCGCGGAAGATGGCCAATGTGGACCAGCACGTGCATTACACCTGACGGGCAATGGAGCTGGCACACGGCCGACAGCAGTGAAGTGGGGAGGTGGCAGATGCCACAGGCGATTGACAGATCGCGTGGCTGGTTGACACCAACTTCAGTGCGAAGCGGCAAAATGGTGTGCCAGCGACTATGCACTAAGTAAATAAATAAATATATATATATATATATTTAAAAAAATGAGTGTTGAGTGTTACTTAATTCGTATCTATTCTTTTTTTCCAGGAACCATGGGGGCAAACCTTTTCCCCTGCCGCTGTGGAGAAGGTGGGGCCGAGAGGGTGACTGGAGGTGGGTTCAACCACCGGAGATGTGAAATGTGGATAAATGTGGTGTGCAGAGAAGAAAATACAGAATGAGGGACGTTTCGTCAGAGATTGAATGGGATCCTTTCCGCCCTGTTTGAGTGCCACGAAGTCCGACGCTCCGTCCGCCGCCCCGGAACCGATGCTTTTCGTGCAACCACTCGTGTGTACCCGGAGTGACCTCCTTCGGGGGCCCGGATGGAGTGGAGAATTGGTGGCCTAAACAAAGCCTCCGAGAAGTCGTTCCTTTCAAGCAAGAGGTTCCTGAGGTGATCACACTTCTTTTTCGAGGATTCGAAGATCCGGATTCAAGAAACCCATGAGTGGATTCAGCCAAACAGACGAACAAGAGTACGAACAAATGTTCATAGTGTGCTCGTTCGAGCCACCAATGTTCCCTGGGCATTCGGCTTCAGGAGCTGATACTCACCAACAATACATACTTTTGTTGCAAACATGATACCTTGTTACTTGGCGGTTTGAGAACATGTACCCATGAGAAGGTGTATGTTGTATTTCTCCGAATGATAAATAAAAACACTCTGACCACTGACCTCCAAGCTGTTCCCAACTTCGATCGCCTCACCTGTTTGTGGCTTTGGTTCGTGCGACCTGCCGGATCTTGGAGCTGTCAACACATGGTGACCTTATATAACCTGCCAATCTTTGAGTGCTAGCATCCCTATAGCAGATTATCAATTAGTAAAACAACGATCAAACAATGGAGACATATATACACCTTTTTTAAACATCCTTTTTCTGCAGCTTCTTTTTGAGCCAGGTATATACAATGTAATGGAGGCACATTCATGACATAGATCAAGCCTGCGCCCCCCCGGCGGCCTCAGGCTTAAAGCAAACAGCCAAACAGCTTGCGTCGTTGTCCAAGTTCTTTCTAGACGTTTTTGTCAGAGCACCGAACTCCTGAACCGCCGCGACGTCCTCCGTCCGATGGCCATGTGGGCCCCTCCAGGACGAATGCAGCTGAGACAGGCCGAGGGCCGCTTCTTGGCGCGCTGTCATCGGATGGCCAGCTGTCAGGAGGCGATTTGGCTGCCGTGCCTCGGAGCGAAGACTCGCGACGGGCCGGTCCAGTGAGGTGAGGCGACAGGTGAGGTGCCAAGGTTGGGCTTGGACATGCTTGGACGTCCAAAGCAACGGCTTAAAGCTGAAGTCTATTTCAGGATCTATAGCTTGGATCGAATAAATAGGGGTGTAGATGAGCGATATGTTGTGCTCTTCAGCTTTGGGGATAGTACTGGTTGGGAGTGACTGGGAACAATTGCCCACCCTAAAGGGTCTTGAATCGTTCATCTTTACTTTGGGTGCGGGGACAAGTTGTGAATCCTCCAAACAATTTATTGTTGATATAGTTTCTTTTTTTTTGAACCCCTCTCCCTATAGGATTTGGTCAAAGGCAACCCTTGCGCCATTATAGAAAGGGGCAAATTTGCATCGGTGCTTTTTTTACTCCTTTCGTTCCCCGTTTGGTTCCATCAAAATCATCCGCGAATCCCATCCCGAAACACCCCCCTGCAACTGCACCATGCGAACGGTACCTGGACAATTAGACCTACCTGCCCAGATCTGCTTTGCTTTCAGCACGGTGCTCTCTTGAAACCGGTGCGGCACGAGGAGCAGCGTGGTGGCCGCGGCCGTCGATGGACATTGCGCCGCTTGTGCACTTCGCTTGGGCGCCGAGGCGCCTGGTTCGACGGTCGGTGAGGTCGGCGGTGTGTGGAGGAACAGGAGCAACGGAGCATGAACGGAGGAGTGAGGGAGGGAGGGAGGGAGGGAGGGAGGGAGGGAGGGAGGGAGGGAGGGAGGGAGTGAGTGAGTGAGTGAGTGAGTGCACCGGAGGTCATTTTTTTAATGAAATGGCCGGTGTTTTTGGGATCCATTTGGTTTGGGTTGTTTGGAATCCATTTAGGAGGCTTTTGTGTGGATGGGGGCTCATCCTTTCATCTTTATGACCTATGGATGTTCGTAACCCTCAGAGGGGTAGCAGCAGTTTCCTGCTGAGTGTCTTATGACATACCAATCATGCATCATATACTGACCATTCCTAAGAAGTAACCAAGACCGATCCAATGTCAGCTGTTCAAACCTTCGCTCGCCTGTGCTTTTGTCAGCTGGTATTGGCTGGATTGATTGGCTTTGCAAAGTAGCACAGATCAAGTCCGCGTCGCCACCCCGACAATTTGTAGGACGGAGACAAGAACTCCGACAAGACCAAGGGCACTCATCACCCGCGTTTGGTGAAGTTTGCTGTGTAGGACAGGTTGTAAAGTTGACAACAAAACCACATGTTTGTTTCACGAACTGTAGATTTCTTTTTACGAACCATGTGTAGGACAGAACAAACCAACTTTCTTGGACGCCTGCGTCACCACCGTCACTCCGCTGCGGAGAGGTGCGAACGCTCACGGTGCGCTTGGGCCGGGACCAGTGTCGTGTTCTTCGAAAGCTTCCCAGTGGCGTGGACACGCTGTCCGGGCCACCCAGTGGTTACACTGCGGCACGGAAAGCTGGCGGCAGGTGGCGGGGAGAGGTGGAGTGCACTTTGGGGGGGTTGCTGAAGCTATATTGCTTCAAAAGGGAGCTGAATACAATGGCGCCAGGCTCAGGGCCAAGTAGGACGAAGACATACACTCAGACCAGTTCTGAGGCCATGTTTGAGGAAGGTCAACGGAAAGGCAGACCATGTCACACGAGAGAGGCAGTTGCCGTAGCAGACAAGGTCTTGGAGTCTTGGGATTGGGAACCTACTGTCTGACAAGTAACTGGTAACTGTCCCAGTTCGCAAGTGAACATACAAAACAATCTTTTACTTTTTACATCACAGTTTTGCACAAACTAGCATTCAACATCATTCAACAGTCTACCAAATGACATTCGGCTCCCGATGACTCTGTTCCGCACCCATGCTTTTGGACGCGTCTCAGAGTCTCAGACCTTTGTTTGAGCTGGAGAGAGTGTTTGGGTCAGCTTCAGCCCTACACCAACGCCCAATTCGGCCAGAGTCGGAAGTCTCGGCTACGGTAGAGTCCGGAGAGCTTGAGCCAGCGAAGCATGAGGACGAGTGTCGGTAGTGGAGGGATGCTAATGTCGAATCTTGATGAAGAACCGTAACCCCGCCACTTCCGGAGCGCGGGTGGTAGAAGAGGTTTTACCATGTTCTACCATCTGTAACCTCCCTTGAGGTTTTACAAACCTGTCAGAAGATCCGACAAGGGAGTGGGTGGGCGCGTGTCGTGGATCGTCCGCCAGGAGGTTTTACAATCCAAATGGGGGCTTATTCGTCAAGATTCTACATTGGTCGTGCTCAACCTGTCACCCACTCAACCGGTACTTCGCATGTGCCACTCCTGACATTCCCGTGGTTTGTCCGACACCCGCTTTCACCGCCGAACCTCCGCAGGCGTGGCATGTGTATCGCTGGCTGCCATGATTTGCTCTCACTTTTGGGCTGAGGCCAAGAAGGTCGCTACTGTCGTCAATTCAGTGTTCCAAAGTTGAGCACAAGTCCGAGCGAGCGTTTCGAAGATCGGCACGGCTCGAGTAGAAGGATGACCCCTATATTCGATCCAAGCAGGATTCCGTACTGTTGAGGCCAGATCCATATAATACATATGTATGTATATATGTAGTATATTTAGTATGATCATGTATGATCCAAAGTCAAATACATGTCACATGTCAACTATATTCAACTCTATGTATACATTCTATTACTTCTGGCTTGGTTTGCTTCTTGCTTTCCCCACTGCAAAGTTCGTTGCTGCTTCATATATACGAACGATGTTTTTTGTTGTCCAAAGAGGAGATGTGTTGCCTTTCCCATCAAGAGACGCACCAAGTGGCAACAGAGTGGACCCGACACCTTTCAACTTGGGTTTCGCTGGGTTTCAACTTGGATTCTCTTCATTTCTTGTGGGGTCCTGAGTATCAACGAAGTTACAGAGGTCTTCGGTATTCGGACCTACCAACATTTGACCAGGATGATGAAGTAGGGGATAGTATGGGATAGTACACTGGAGATATGGAGCCGCTCATTATGAAACCCAAATGTACAACTGAATTATGTATAAATATGATTGCCAGGACTCGTTACAACCTGCCCAACAGTGGGCCGACTTGCCCTTCAGCAGATCTGGACGGATGTCCCATCGCCTCAATATGAGGTGTGGGAGAACTTCGCGTGCTGCTCAAAAAAAGAAAGGACAAATCAGCTGCAGAACCGAGGGTTTCCCTGAGAAGTAGACGAGGGAAGGATTGCGAGAGAAAGTGTTCAGGAGGGCGTGTGGGTAGGTCTCTATTTCCTGGCCTCAAGCCACCTCGCAGATGTTCAAGCATTTTATGTAGAGAACGATCCTGGTTTCTTATCACCAAGGAGCTTCATATATGGACAAGTGAGCCAATGCCATGATGAGCTCGGGCCAAGAGATGAGATGAGATGATCCAAAAGCAAGCTTCTTGTTTGGAGCATGGCCAATGTATTATTTTTCAGTTGTGGACCTTGTAGTGTAGTGTAAACCTTTCAGTTTTCAGCTTTAGAGAGATTAGGACATGAGCGATGAGCCAGCAAGAGGCGTCCTTGCAGGCTTGGGAGATCTGGAGATTTGGGTGGATCGGGACATGGGTGGCGTGGTTCACCATGGTTGAGAGGGTGGCATTCACTAGTTCTTCAGATGATTTGGATGTGATCACATGATATGTTCAATGGTGCTTAGTGCTTAGTAGTAATTGTATCGAACTGTACAGAATACCGTGCCATATGATATCACTCTAGAATGGATACCATTAGCTTCCCATCTATGAAGACCGGAGTATAATTAGATATAAATAGTGTTTTTTGTTTTCCAAGCCCAAAGATGGTCCATGACAATGGGCGACCAACAGAGGAAGACACAACTGCCCCAGTCAACGGAGTTTGCAGAAAACCTTTGAAGCAGGTGAGAGGATTTTTGTTTGATTTTCTCTAGGAGAAGGGACATGGCAAAAGGATGAAGAATAGCTACCGCCTCGCTAAGATGGATCTCCAAAAAGCGCGTGTGTGGCTGTTTGGATGCATGCCGCGAATTTTGTAGACTGCTGAGCGCTGTGGATTTTGTACTTGCGATGCCTGACTGTACGGAACTCAAAACCAGCTTTGGCGAAGACCAATTTCTTCTTGGACTTGGTTACAAATGCTTGTCAGAGGAGGGGCCTTTCAGTACGGCTGTTTTTGTTTGCCGTTTCCTCATAGGAGTACCCACAAGCATTTAGTTGGACTAGTTGGGATTTTGGACCTGTACCACAACTCGATTTGCTTGTGCAATGCGATATGTTGCGAAAGTGTAGGCTGAAGTCATCGAACGAAGTGAGAAGTAAGGAGTGTGGGGTGTTGTGTACCAAAATCATAGTAGCCTGCTGGTGTTTTTCTTTTTGGTGAAGGCCATTTTTGGTGATGCAACGATGATGCAACGGATGCAAGATGAACCTGTTTCGGCATTCGCTTGGAACATCGTTGACGACCTTTTGGGGCTTCGCGTATGGGCCTTTTGGACGCAAAGCCTGACCGCAAATGACCAAAAGGGGTTCCCCAAAATGGACGCTGCGTGGCCCTGAAATCTCGGCCCCACAAACCTCGAGTCGTAAAAACATCCATGACGAAGTCTGACTCAGGGCGCGTCTGGAAGTCTGACTCAGGGTGACCTACAAGGGCAACCAGCGGCTTTCAAAATGACACCAGCCGTACTGACATTTACCGCCCGTTGATGCTTTAGCTCAACGACCCTCTACGACCAAGGGGTTCATCTGGCCCTTGAAGTCTAAGTCTGATCCAGCACCAGTCCTTTGCACCATGCTGTACATGATTGTACATGAACCACACTGACCAGACCCCCAGATAGCAAGACCCAGCGCCATCGTCTCATGACACGCGGCACGTGCCACCCCCATTCCTGCTCACGCGTAAACGGTCGTACCACTGGCTTGTCAGGCTTTCCTTTGATGTCGTGTCTCAGAGTTCCACATGTCTTGCAAAGCTGACTCAAATGAGACAAAAATCGTCAGACTTGGGGATTTGAGGCATTGGACCACTTTGAACTGCGGGGCTTCACCCACACGATAACAATAACCAACAATAACAATGGGTGCTCGCCCGGTTTCTGTTCGCTCCCGCGGAGAAACTGTAACGCTCGCCTCTCCAAGGGGTTTCGCTCCCCTGCCAAGAATCGGTGCAGCTCTCTGAAGAGACTGGTGCAGCTCAGGAAACCTTCAGAGTGTCCCTCAGAGTTCGGACCCGATCATGAAAACGTTAACTGGGTTTCATGATGTTAACGTGTTTTTGGGCCCATGGTTGCATCTAAGGCTTTACCAGATCACTGGTGATGTTTCATGAATGTTGATGATATTAGATCACTTTAGAGGACGGCAGACCATGCCTGACTTCACGATATCAACAACACAGTTGCATGTCTGAAGTGCCTGAGGTATTATGTAGACTCTTGATTAATAACGCCCACCCTCCCGACATGGATTGTCTAACCTCTTGATACCTGGATCTTCCAGCTATGCAACATGTCTGCTGTCGGCGGGGAGTGCCCAGCAGAGAGCGCTTAGCATCCCTGTCTCTCGAAATGGCACAAGCGCGGGTGAGACAAAAACCTTGACTTGCTTGCTTGCTTAGGGATTTTCTCATTGGTTTTTCGAAGTCAAGTGTGATCAAAGACAGCCCAACACGAAACAGATGATTTAGTTTTTGAACCCGTGCACCAGTGCCTGACAGCCAGTTACAGTTGGCTCAGTTGCCTCGACTTTGGTACGGACTTCATTTACCCGCCGAGATGTTGCTGCGTATGATAGCTGCTGCCACGATTGCGGCAGATGTACTTGGCGGCACTACCGTCACGCAGCTCCGCATTGTGGGTGTGGATGGCACAGCCTATGCTTGGAGGACGCCAGGAACGGTTCTCTACTCCGATTCCAGCTGTTCTGTTGAAACGGGTGACGTTGCCACCGAATACTACGCAGCAAAATTGGACTCTGGTGGCAACGAGGAGTACACATGCCCCTGCGGAACATGCACAGCCGCTGAGGGATGTCGGCTTCTTGGTGATTGTAACTACTGGGCTCAGTCCTCTTGCACTGATGGGGGCACTTGCCCAGCAGGACAATGTGTCGTTGTAGTGGGCTTGCCATCCGCTGCAAGCGTGAGGTGCTTGCATTTCTATGAGAACCATCTCGGAACTTACAATAGACACATGGACACCGTGCGCATCGAATACCGCATGTACTGCGAAGAGCAGTGGAGCTCATGGGAAGCGCTTGTGACGACATCTTTGAGTTTCCTAAGCTGGTATGACCCCCACACAATTGACCTGGGACAGACAGTTCCTACGGAATGCCCTGTTTTTCGGCAGCATTCAGTCACACACGTGGGCTGACATAGGCCCTTGGCGGGTGCCTTGTTGTCGGCACTGGCTGTATTTCGTAGATTCTCGCACACTCGTGCACTGATTACGACACTCTTCATGTGAATTGGTCACTTAGCATTGCCGCATTGCCCATCACTGACCGGAACCAAAATCCATCGCACCTTCTTCTAATCACAATCTTCATATCTCTGATTGCTTCTTGCATCACCCAGGGATTCAAGGACTAGTTGTCATTGTGCAGGATTATCCTTTGAATGGCTATGTATGATATGGTATTGTTCCCAGGCATACTTTGGTTCAGATTGGGTTCAGAATGTTCTATATACCCTGGCAATCCATGTATGTCATATATCATGACGGAGCTATGTAGCGTCAGGGACGCTATGGAGGCCATGTATGCAAAAACAACGTACGGAGTCTCGAAGAGTCTCGGAAGTAGGGCCTCGGAGAACCAAATCTCGTGTAGGTTAATTTTGCCTACAGAAGGTGTTTGGGGGGCTATGTAGGCTCTCAGCTTGACATTCTCAAATGTAGTGATATATGACTGACGGTGGAGTCTCAGGGAAAAACATATATGCTACCCCCCCCGAAAACCCACGTTAGCCTTGGATGCAATCATTATTTTGTAATAGGCAAACTATTTGCAGTATTGAAACATTCAAATTAAAGTTAATTCAATCTTTTAAATATGTTCAGAATCTTTTATTATGCTGCATATTTAAAATATTGAACATTTTATTGAAATAAACTTTAACTTACTATTTTCTTTTAATATATAACATTAAATTGATTGCGTTTATATGATGGTTTAAACTTTTTCAATATTTAGACCATGCCCAATATTTAAACTGTTAAACATATTGAATTCAATGGGGTTTGCCAATTCAGGTAATCAATCTGATCTTTCAAACATTGAAACATTCAATTAATTTTAATTCAATGTTTGAAATATTTTAGCTAACTTTCAATAGGCGAACTATTTAAAATATCTAAACCATTAAATTCAATTTTCATTCAATCATTTAAAAATTCTAGATACTGTTGAATAGGCAGAATATTTAAAACACCTAAAATATTGAATTAACATTGAGTTTAATGTTTTAAAATTTTGAAGTGTTTCAAAAATTGAAAAGATTTTTGGAATTGGCAACCCTCTTGAATTAAAAAAGATTGTGTATTTTTTCCTATTAAACATATTCAACTATTCCAAAAATTTAGTAAAGTTTGAATTTAGTGTGTTAGATATTTTACATATTTCGCCTATTAAAAACTAATTAGAATATTTAAACTACTGAATTCAAAGGGGTTGCCAATTCCAGGAACTAATCAAATATTTCAATCATTTAAATCATTTAGTTTAATATTGTTTTTTAATCGGTAAAATATTTAAACTGTTTAAAACATTAAATACAATTTTCAATATTGAAAATATTGTATCTTAAATAGGCTAAACATTTACACAACTTAATAAAAAATTGGCTTACTTTTTGTAATGTTTTAATACTTATTAATCTTTTTCCTCGAATTGGCAGCCCTCGAATAGTAGTAAGTCGAACTTAGAGCCAAGCCCAAAACAAAACCAAAACAAAAAAACAAACCGCTGAGGAGAATCTTTGGTTTCAGCCTGAAAGATGGTTGTTTTGTTTTCAAGGAGTTTTTTTTTAAAAAATATTTTTTTTGGTTTCATTCATAGAAAAAAACACAAGGTTTTTTTGTTTTTGCTTTGGTCTATACAATCACCAATGCCCAAAAGCAAAAAATCACAATGATTTTGTTTTTCGATAAAACATAGACAAAAACAAAAACATTGTGTCTTTTTGTTTTTTTGGCATTGGTGATTGTATAGACCAAAGCAAAAACAAAAAACCCTTGCGTTTTTTGTTTATCTATGAATGAAACCAAAAACACTAACAAACACGCAATGAAAATAAAAAACATCTTTCAGGCTGAAACCAAAGATTATCCTCAGAGGTCTTTTTGTTTTTTTTGTTTTTGGGTTTGGTAGTCTGTGATAAGACAAACAAATGAATAATAAATTTGGTACATACACGCAGTGAGCCTACCTGATTGCGTTTGGAGACTACTCTATTTCTCTACTTTAGTTTAATTAATTTTATGGTGAGAAACGGCTTGTGGAACGGTAATGAATATAATTGACTCCAACGGAAATGTAATAAATCCA